GGGGGGTGGGGGTGGGGAAATGCGCGGGGCTGCAGCTGGGGCCGCTTGAGGAGCCGCCAGGCTCGGTTTCCAAGGTGCTCGCGGTGATGAGAGAGCAGAACTGAGATCCCACCTAAAGCCAAAGGGTCACCCCTTTGGCGAGGGCCAGCAGCTCCTTCCTGTATTCCCTCGGTTCCTTCAGCCCTCCCATCCCTGAGCGACCAACTGCTCCTATTCAATTCCCTCTGCTGAGAAACTTTGTATACGTATTATTATTATTTTTTTTGTATCCTGACTCGTGCCTGACTGATACAGGCCAGCGGGGTGGGGCAGCACATTCCTGGCCCTGGGAGGACTGAAACTCCCAGGTGCATGGAACACGGCCGCTCTTAGAGATCAGTACTGAGGGACGAGTGGAGGAATGGCAGTTCCTTTGCCATTCCATTGTGGTCCTCACCCTTCTCCAGGTCACCCTGGGGAGCAGTGTCTCTTTTTGGTGATGGGGGTCATGGTGGGCGGGGCTGCTCCAAAGGCGCTCACAGTTTGTCTTAGGGCCTGGATCTCGCTGGCTGGAGGCTTCTCCTTGGCCTATCTCTAGCAGACGAGCGCAGAGCACCCCAGGCCATCACAGGTTCTGCCCTGGGTCTCCGGAGAGCTGGGACGAACACATGGCTTACATAGAAGCTGATTCTGGACCCTTTGGTTAGGGTAGGGAGAACGAGGAACGGGCCTCCTGCTCTGGCCTCGCCATCGATAAAAGAACAAGGGCAGAGGCTCCAGCCTGGCGTGTCCAGGCCAGGTCCTGGAACCCAGACAGAGGCCGGGAGGACGTGTCCTAGGCCCCGAGATTTCCGGGAACGCGCACGGCCGCTGTGAGTCCCAGTCGGAATGTACTTTTCTTCAACTCTAGGAGCATACATCTCTCGTAGTTAAGGCAAATCTTCGGGCAAGGCTTCTACGCCAAAGACGGCCAGCCGGAAACGGTCTTCTCGGGCCGAGGTGGCGATGCCCGATTCGCCAGACCGCTGCCAGCTGTCTAGAGCACAGCCGCCTCCCCCATCTGGGCATGTGCAGGTCACGCCCGCACGCAGGCTCAGAGCGCTGCTGCGTCTATGGTCGGGAAGTCTGATAGAGTGTCCACCCATCTGGACCTGAACTCTATGGTTCCTACGTGTTAATATGGACGGCCTATATAAGGCACGCGCAGGGGCAGGAGTGCCTCTTTTTCTTCGTGGTGGTGAGTAGTCTTGTTTACGTGTTTGTTCCAGTCCCTGTGCTTACTCCCCGGTTTGAGGCTTGCGTTCCTGTTCTGTTCCGACTTTGTCTGTTTCGTTGCAGCCACTGAAGATCCTGGTGTCGCCATGGGCCGTCGCCCCGCCCGGTGGTGAGTGCCAAATCCATGTATCACTACTGGGTAGAGGGAGAACTACATTTGGCCGCCAAAAGCAACCGTGTGGTGGGGCCTCTCTGGTGCCGGTTTCCGTCTTGGAAGCCGACTACGTTTTTCCCAATACCTTTCGGGTCGCTTTAGGTTCTCCTTTATCATTTGCTTATTTACTTGAAAACCTCATGACACTCTTTAATCTTTTCCCCATTTTCTTGGGGTGGCGGATTGACCCTGGACTGCATGCGCTCCCTCAGTTGGGAGCTGGAAGCGTCGTCCGCCTTATATCCTGATCTGTGTCTTGGAAATGCGTCGCTGTTTCAGGTTTGGTGCCCTCAGAGCCTTTTGGAGGCCATCCCCTTTTTATTTCCGGGCGCCGTGCAGTGTGGTCTCGGACGCCAAGGGCAGTCACGGCAAAGCGTGTTCAGCTGCCTCCTGTGCCCTACAGGGTGCGCTGCGAGCCCATCGGGTGGCTCAGGATTTTTAATGCCAAGTGCCCAAAGTGTGTAGGTGGATGGCATGGACTACGTTAAGCTTCAGATTTGAAGTAGACAGTATCTTGAAGTGGAATTACTGTGTTTCTTTTTAACAAAGTCAGCTTCAAAGTGTGCTTTATAGGAAGTTGAAAATTCAATAAGGGTCGAGGGAGATACTTCTACTTTTGTGTTTCTAGTGTGTCCGTGCAGTCTTAACTTCTGGCCACCTCATTTCGATACCCCTTTCCCAGCCTGCCTTTGGTCTTATCTTGAGGGTGTGACTCGGTGTGTCTATTGGTCGAGATTGTGTGTGAACCCCTGCAAATTTGTTTCCGTATCCCCCTGCAGTTACCGGTATTGTAAGAACAAGCCGTACCCCAAATCTCGTTTTTGCCGAGGTGTCCCTGGTAAGTAGCGGAAGAGTTCCCAAAACTGATTTTGCTGCTCCAGCTCAGTTGCCTGTGTCGTCCCCCACCACACTTAACCTGAGCTTTTTTCAGATGCCAAGATCCGCATCTTTGATCTGGGGCGGAAGAAGGCAAAAGTGGATGAGTTCCCACTCTGTGGCCACATGGTATCAGATGAATATGAGCAGCTGTCCTCTGAAGGTGTGGCAGGATTCCTTGGTAGTCACGCCTAGTCCCTTGTATGTGCTCTCCCAGCCAGACCCTGAACAGATTGCCCTGGAATTAACCAGTTTATTAAGAGCCTCTTTACAAAATTTACCCAGTCAATACAGATGTCCTGAGAAGCAAGGAGAGCCATGAGTGCATCTGTTCCATCTCTCATTCTGCTGCCTTCCTCTCCCCACCCCCTACTCCACCCTAGCCCTGGAGGCTGCCCGAATTTGTGCCAATAAGTACATGGTGAAAAGCTGTGGCAAAGATGGCTTCCACATCAGAGTGCGGCTCCACCCCTTCCATGTCATCCGCATCAATAAGATGTTGTCCTGTGCTGGGGCTGACAGGTGAGTTGGGTCCTCTGTGTTGGGCTTGATTTTCCATGGGTCAGGGCCAAGAAGTGGCCACACTTTAAGACTCAACCACCCATAGCAAAACTAGGGCAAGGACTGGCAAGCATATTTTAGTGGACAGTTCCCCCTCCCAGCACTGTATAGATGAATAGGACTGACCCCCAGAAACAAAACTGAAGCCATCACAACTCTTAGCAGGTTCTGGGTGGTAGGTGTAGGGAGGTGCTTCTGAGGGAGTAGGCCTGAAGATAGCCATCTGCTACCAAGCAGGTAGCTGGTGTGGTCACAGTTTGGGGGGTTTTCAGACAAGCCCAGTGTCAGTGGCACCTTGTAAGGTAAGGACTCTGATCTGTTTTGGAGCTCTGTGTTCTCTGCAGCCAATTAAGCCGACTGTGCTCTTTCCCCATGGGGGCTCGGTGTGCAGTGGCTGCAAACAGTAACCTCCTTGGTAGTGTATGCAGCCTGTTGCTTGTATAGGTTGCCCTAAGGGACCTTGGAGACAGTGGGCGCTCATCTTATCAAATGCTGTTCCCAATCTAGGCTCCAGACAGGTATGCGGGGTGCTTTTGGAAAGCCCCAGGGCACAGTGGCCAGGGTCCATATTGGTCAAGTCATCATGTCCATCCGCACCAAGCTGCAGAACAAGGAACATGTGATTGAGGCCCTACGCAGGGCCAAGTTCAAGTTCCCTGGTCGCCAGAAGGTAAGAAATGATGCAGTCTTCATCCTATCTTTCCTTGCCTCAGTCTCTAGTCCTTCTAAATTCTTTGTCTCTCCTAGATCCACATCTCCAAGAAATGGGGCTTCACTAAATTTAATGCAGATGAGTTTGAAGATATGGTAGCTGAAAAGCGGCTCATCCCAGATGGTTGTGGAGTCAAATACATCCCTAATCGTGGCCCCCTGGACAAGTGGCGGGCTCTGCACTCATGAGAGCCTCAGCACTGCCCCCCTATTGACACCTATGAATAAATCCTACTTCCTGTCCATCTGTCTTAGTGTCTGGATTTGTCGGGGTGGGGGTGGCTCTGGGAACCCTAGAGTCATTGTCCCTTCTCTAAGCTGGCCAGCTGGTAGTTGGCAGGGCTAGCAAGGGGACAAACCCAGAACACATGCAGGATCTGCAGCCCCTCCTTGCTTACACAGGTGGGATGCTGACTTGGCTCTGCCTAGATCAGGCTATAGGTTCAAAGTTTCCCTAGCAAACCCAGGCAGTGGTTAGTCTAAATGCATCAAGTCCTGCCTTAGTAAAATGTTCTGTCCCAGTCATGAAAAAGATTGTGGCCTAAGGCTGACCTCCGCCTTCTGTGCAAGCTTTTTCCAAGACTTCCAGATCGGCAACCTCACTGGAAATGAGAAATGAATCAGACTGGGCGTATCTCTGCCTGTCTTTAAACAGCCTTACAGGAGACAGGGTAATCTAGTTACGCTGGAGTAAACAGGTTTGTCCTGGGTCAGACCCCATTTGCCTGTCTTCAGGGTAGTACAAGCAACCTTGACCCATGGCCCTAGGTACCCCTCCCCTGTTCAGGGTTCATTCCTGGGGCCCTCACCACCATTGGCTGATGTCCAGTCTGACCTCCCACAGCTGAAATGGCCCATGGAGCTTGGCAGTCACAAGAGATCCTTGGGCAAATTGTGCAGCCCTGCTCTGAGGATGCTGAAGGGCTGACTGTCCAGTACCCAGACTGTGCTAGGGCTACTCTGCAAGCACAGCATTAGGACTCAGCAATATCCTCGGGAAGCAGCAAAAAAACGGCCAGAGAGGTCCACTAAGTGGCATGGCCTGCAGCTCTGCCTGGAAGATGACCCTGAAGAGATCTGGTTGCAGAGCCAAACACTGGTCTGAGACCCCTGCTCTGTTCTGCACTGTGGTCAGAGACCCAGGCTGCTCCATAGGTTGGGCTGCATGCAGCACTTAGTCCCTGTGGCCCCTGAGAGGCATCTGACTTTCTGTAATCTTACATTGAGAACACTTGTAAAATTCAAAATTACCTTTATTTTTAACCTCAAGGATGGTTTTAAAGTATGACTAATTTGCCCTGACATCCCACTAGATACTTTTTATTGAGCTCTGTTGTCTTCAAAAGGAGCTGGGCAAGGAAGGGTCCCTTGATACCATGTAGCCCCTTTCCCTGCAAGACCAAACTATGTATTCACACAAAAGGTGCTACAGTTACAAGATAAGTGTTGTGTGCACTTCCAGCCTTGGTAGCCAGCCTCCTGTGGCTGGCCCTACACACAGGCCTATGGGGACCAACAGCTGCAGGGCCAGAGGGGTAGGGGCTGCCCAGCGGTTGTGAACATGGACTTGACTGAAGGCATAAGGGCTGTTGGCAGCTATTTTCATTCATTGGATTACAATGAGCTTAAACGTTTCCTTTTGTTCACTGAGCTACTGTGTGTGTAAACTCATCTCCATCCTTGTATCTACTGGCGTATTAATATTTTAATTCATATGAATCCTGTGCATAATAAAGATGGTCCTTTGGCATATCTGCCACACATATGTGATAACCCTCCAGCCTAGCTTTTTGTTGTCAGTGTGGATGTAAGCTTCCTTTTGAGTCATATAATAAAATACTTTGATCTGTTGCACTTTCCTTTTCTGAGCCCTGTAGTTTAGTCAAGATAACCTCCCAAACATCCCTCCCCTGTCCCTAGAGCCTGCTTAGGCCTCATTCCTGACACTACCTGGGGCAAGAGTGGTACAGACAGGTCCAGCCTCAGGGAGATCTTCCTCTTCTACATTCTAATGCCACCCACAGGCCCAACCAAAAAACAAGCCAAAGCAAAGCAAAGGCGGAGGAGGGATTCAGTCCGATGGATCAAGACCACACAGAGATGGAGGGCTGCAGTTGAAAGCCCTCAGGAGTCACTTTGGCCCCAGGGCAGGATGGACAGGGAGGCCAGGGTTTGAGGTCTGAAGGCAGTATATTCATCCCATCTGCAGGCAGCAGGCAGCAGGCAGCAGGCGGGTTCACACCACCAGGCCCAGGTCGGGCGGCAGGAGTGGCAGCAGCATTGACAACAGTAACAGTGTGGGCAGGCTGAGGGGCTCAGTCCTGCGAACTGACCAGCTCAGCTCCACCTCCACAGGGTAGTGGTCACTGATGTTGAGGGCCTGGGGGTGAGCAGTGGAACAAAGTGTCAGTGTTGGGGCTATAGGACTTTGCTGCAACCCCATTTCTGCCTCAGCTGTTTACCTCCTCCTCTGTGAGCTGGAACCTCCTAGGGAAGTCGAAAGTGGCCGAGGCAAGCAGCAGGCTCTGGCAGCGCTCCCCGTGCAGCACTATGCGATCATAGGTGCAGTGGGTGCTGGCCCGCACAGTGGTGTCCTCCCCGTCGGGAACTGCCCAAAGGAAGCCTGCCTGAGTCCGCAGCGCCAGCTTGTCCAGGCGCTTTTTGGTCAGCGAAACACAGTCAGCATTGAAGTCTCCAAGCAGGATCACATCCTGGAGAGGGGGGCAGTGACTGGGCCTGGCCATCCAGACATCTGGTCCCCATCCCACCCATGTAATCTGCCCAGCCCTACCTTGCTCTGCCAGTGCTGAGAAACATCCAGAAATACATCGTACAGGGCGTTCAGCTCCTTCTCTACGGCCTTTGGAGTGGTGTGCAGTGGGACCAACACCAGGCTGGGAAGGACTACAAGGGCCCAAGGATGAAGGGTCCACCCACTCCTGGCCCTCGTCCGCCCAGCCAGACCCTGTTTCCTTCCCGCTCCCACATAGCACAGCCACCCTTCTCCTACCCTTGCTGGGGAAAGTGAACTGGGCCACAAAGGGCTCCCGGGCAAAGAGGTCATCCTTGTCATTGTACACGTAGGAATCCAGGACCTGCGTCTTGCGTGACCTGGGAGACCAATGGATAGGAAGCAGTGCTTCTCATGTCCCTGATTTTGGTTTGCAAATGCCAACATCAGAGCTGGTGCTCAGGGAGGGGCCTCTGCCCTCAGCCCTGCATCATGTGGGCACAGCTTTTCAGGCTTTTTCTCTAGAACCTTTTTTTTTTGAGATACAATTCACAAGCCATGAAGATCACCTCTTTAAATTGTGCCATTCAGTGGTGGTTAGTATAGTCAGGTTGTGCAGCCATCACCACAATTTTAGAACATTCTTATCATCCCAAAAAGAAACCTCATCCCCATTAGCAGTCACTCCTCACTCCACTTCCCTTCAGCCCATGATGTTTTCGGTCTCTAGATTTGCCTATTTTGCACATTTCGTTTTGAATCAAATAGTATGTGATCTTCTCTGGCCTCTTTCCCTTAGCATAGGTTTTCAAGGCTAATCCACACTGTGGCAAGGGTACAGCTTCATTCGTTCCTATGGTGGAATAATATTCTAGTATATGTTGACAGCACTTTGGTTTATCCAATCATTTGCTGATTGACACCTGGGCTGTTTCCACTTTGGGGCTGTTATGAGTGATGCTACCATGAGCATTCCAGTGTGGATGTGTTTGTTCCCTGTTATTTTTGCATGATTTCTAGATATTATGTAATTTCATCTATACAGAGATGCAAGTCTCCTTCTCTGACAGCCCCCCTTGCCTTCCCAATCCTGACCCTAAAGGGCTTCTCCCAGGCTGTCTTCCCAAGGACTTAAGAGATGTTTTTAGAAACTGGGTCTGCCCAAGGCCCACAATGGGCCCCAGTTGAGCCTCTTCCCAGAAGTTGCATCCAGCCATTCCCAAAGAGGGAGGAAGCCTTGCCCTGAGCCCCAGTAGCTTCAGCAGGACAGAAGCAGAGAGGCCCCTCATCTGTGTATGGAGAAGGAAGGCCTCATGCTTTAGGGCCGTGCGAGCACCAAGGCTGCCGAGGGGAGAGGAGAGGAAGATCCCAGAATAACACTGTTGAGGAGAGGTGTAATGAGAAGATGACAGCTGCCCCAGGAGGAAGGGGCCTATAGCCCTTGGAACTAATGAGCCCTTTCACACCGGGCCAAGCACCAAGTCTGCCTTGGCCACCCGCTGTGCTTACCGGTACACATACACATACTTCTCCATGTATGTGCTGCGCCCCAGCGGGAGGCTGCTCAGGAAGCTGTAGGGCCCAGAGCCATCAAATCTGCCAGGAAAGGGGAATGCAGGGTCAGGGGCCCTGAGGCTCTGGTGGTGGGGGTGCAGATTAGACCCACAGACTCCTCCTCACCTATTGAGTTCTCGGAGCAGGAGGGGGATGGCATTGCCAGAAGAGTCTACCACCTCTTGCAGCACCATGATGTCACAACGAGCCAGGATCTGCGGGACACCAGGAAGGCCAGCCCCACCCACTGCCAGCTGCTCCAAGGGGGTGTGTGTCCCTGGGGAACTGGCACTGGTGTGGCCAACAGTGTCATGGTGTACTGGCTGTGGCTCTCAGAAAGCAGTGGGACTAGAAAGGACTTGGGAGAAGACTGAGTGCCATCCCCACCCACACTGCACCCATTTTTCAGAGGAGGAGACTGAGGCTGACAATGGGAAAGTTATGTGCTCCATATCTCCACACACGTCTCTTGATGTCACCTCTTCTCTGGGGCATGGCCCTGGTCAGGCAGGGCTGGGGCCTGAGTCACAGTTCTTAGGGGCTCAGCTTCCCTGCAGTGATGAACCTACCTGAACTAAGGTGTCCATCACATGCTCCCTAGCCACCTTGGCAAGTGTCAGCCGCTGGGCATTGAAGGCACAGATGCGAAAGGCCTCAGCCCCGCTGGCCAGGAGGAGGAACACCGCTGGGCAGTGCATGGCTGGGTATGGGTTGCTAGGACCCTCCAGAGGAATCCGGGTTGCCCCAGGGCACGGTCCCAGCTGCGCTCAGCTCTGGCTCTGGAAAGACATGGTAATATTGGAGAGACAGAAAACAGCACCCGCCTGCTGCCCACACCACCAGAGCTGCCAACACTTCAGACTTTAGTGTCTTTCTCCTAGTGGACACCTTCTGACATCAGCACGTATGCCTTGACCTCATTCTCTTCAACTGTGGTAAAATACACTTAGGATAGAAATAGACCACCTGAACCATTTTAAAGTGTCTGAATCAGCGACATTAAGTGCATATACACTGCTATGCAGCATCCTCACCTTCCATCTCCACGCTTGTTCATCTCCCCAAACTGAAAAATGTCCCATTAGACACCAACTCCGCACCCCCTTACCCCAGCCCCCCATCCGACTTTGTCTTTATGAGTCCGACTGCTGTACATCCCTCACCTCACAGAAGTGGAACCATACAGTATGTGTTCATTTGTGACTAGCTGGTTTCACTGAGCATAATATCCTCAAGGTTCATCCATGTTGTCAAGTGTATCAGGATTTTCTTCCTTTATAAGGATGAGCAACACTCCACTGTACAGATAAACCACATTTTGTTTATCTATGCATCTGCTAAGGTTGCTTGCACATTTTGGTGATTGCAAATCATGATGCCATGAACACGGATGTGCAAAATCTCTTCAAGTTCCTGCTTTCAGTTCTCTTGGTGTCTATCCAGAAGTGGAATTGTTGGATCATATGGTAATGCTATGTGTAATTGTTTGAGGAACCACCACACTGGTTTTCATGGTGGCTTTGCCATCTTACAAGCCTACCAGCACTGCACCGAGTCACTTCTACCCTGTCACCGCCATTAGCAACTAGGAAGACCATCTTGGCACGTCTCTCTCCCTATTTGTGAGATGTTACCTGTAAGACAAACTCCCAGCAGAACTGCTCGGTTCAATGGCATATGCATTTAAAATGATCTCAGATACTCCAAGTCACCCCACTGCACAGCGTGACAGGGCCATTTGCTCGCACCCTGCTACCACTGAAGCCCCCTCGCCCTGAGCGGCGCTCTGGTTATCTCTGTCGCGGGCTTGCCCAGACTTTGCCCTGTCTTTCTAGCTTGCTCCCTCACTCCACTCCCAGTCCATGTCGTTCTCATTGAGTGACATAAGTCCCCCTATTTCTGTCTGCCTGTTTTTCTTTGGCACTTTGTCACCCTTCCCCTTGGGCTCACTTCCTGCCTCTGTCTTTGTCATCCTGTCTTCGCTGCTCTCCCTGTCTTTGTCTCTGTCATTGCGCCTCTGAGCACCTCCTTCACCCTCCAGGCTGGGCTCATTGCCTGTTTCTTCCTGGCCACCTGCTCTGTCTCTCATACCAGTTTGGGTCCCCTGCCCTGATGCCTATTCTGGGATATATGAAGGCATTTGGGCAGCCCTGGGCTGGCAAGGGCAGGCTTGGCGGCTCTGCGCCTCCCTGAGGACCTAGGGCAAGAACCAGAGAGTGACGATTCCGGGCCCCAGCCCGAAGCCCAGACTGGGCTCCCAACACCAGGCCTTGGCCCCGGCCCTAAGCTTCCCTTCCCCTCTCATCCGCCTCCCCAGGCCGGGGTCAACTTCCTGCCTCCCGCCCTCCGTCCAGAGGGCTCTGGTTACCTGCACAGAACAGCTTGTCTCCAAGCACCCGTGGGCTGTGAGCTGGTTGTAGTACCTCACGGAATCGCAGCCGCTGCCTGGGCGGAGACCGGAGGGGGGAGAAAAGAGGAAAAGTCTGTCTTCCGACCCAGCCTGCCTACAACTAGCCGCTCCACCCTTGGCAGGGGGTGGAGGAGGGGAGGAGGGGAGGGCAGGCCCAGCCCAGCTCCACCCACGCCCCAGTAGGGAGGACGGGTGCCTGGCCTGGGAACGACCGACCTGCCCTCCCAGCTTCCCACCGGGCCCCGCCTTCCCGGAGGCCTCGAGGGACCGGGCGCTGGCAGAAGCCCGGGTCCGCGGGCAGATAACAGACTTGTGAGTTACAGAGAGCCACTAAGCGGCAGCCGCGACCTAATGAGTGGTTCCTGTGCCAAGGGCGCGGCGGGAAACTGGCAGCAAAATGCTCTCCCAGGCCCCCGCTCCGGGCTGCCTCTAGGCAGCATCTGGTAGGGAAGACGAAAGAACTGGAGCGCATGCCCAACAGAGGGGAGTCCGCTGTGACCTTGGGCACACTCGAGGACAAGAGCCTTCTCTCCATGTCGTCGGGCCAGGTCCAATGTGTCCGCACACTCCTGAGAACTCTGGAGACCCAAAGTGACCGACAGCCGGTGTAGGTACTGGCCATGGTGGTGGCAGACCGAAGAACTCACTGTCTGAGAGATGGCAGCTCAGTGCCCCGTGCCTTAAGCGCTCCTGCACTGTTGGGACAACTGGAGGACTGGGCGGGGTCTGTGGGCGGGCTGTGTGTCCTTGTTGGCCCGTTGTAGAGCGTACATCAGGGCTGTGTCGCTGTTTGCAGGATCTGGGTGCTAATGGATTGGGGGTGGTGATCAGCAGAAGGTTTAAGGTTTAAAGGTTATGCTTTAAAAAATAAAAATAGACTGCTGAACGGGTACCGGGCTTTCTTTTGGGGTGATGAGCATGTTTTGGAACCAGTGGGAGATGGTGGTTTACAACATTGCGAATGTACTAAATGACATAAAATTCTACAATACATATATTACACATAATGCCTATTATATGTCATATATTGTTACATATTATATGTTGCCTATCACACATTACAAGTTATATACATGTAGTAATGTTGTAGTTATGTAAAACTACGTGCAGGTAATTATGTAAAATCACATAATGTAATATATGTGGCTTAACATTACGTATGTCATATTCGTGCACAAAACATGTAATATACGATGCTACGATATACTACTATAAAACGATTAAATCTGTTATATGAATTTTACCTCAAAAAAAAAGGGGAAAAAAAACGAAAGTTAAAGTGCTCCGCCGTCGCCGACCTTGAGTGGTGTCAGTTAATCATGCTCCACAGCCCAAATTACCTACGGAGATTTCTCTGGTGACAAAACAGACCCACTCCGCCCGGGCGCCTGGAACCCAGACTACACCGGGGCTGGGCGGGACAGGGGCGGGGCCACACTGCCCGCGGGCCCGCCCTCGCTGCCGTCAAGCGGCCCGAGCGCGTTTTGCGACAGGCGCCCGGGCAGCCAGGCACCGTCACGGGCTAGCCTTCCGGCAGGCGCGCGGGTTGCCGCAGCTGACGCCGTCAGCCCCCGGTCGCTCTTCATAGCGACCGCCGGCTCCGGACCCCATTGGCGGCTGGTCTGTGGCGCGAGCTCGGGGCCGCCATAGGCTCTGGACTGACCCGCGAGGTGACCCTGGTCGAGTCCCGTGTCGCGCTGAACAGCGGCACGAGTCTGTAGCGCGGGCCTTTCAGGGACCCGGCTCTCCAGCCCTTGAGGACACAAACCTAGAGCGGCCCCAGAGGCTGCCCCGTGGTAGGGGGGGCGCCGCTGGGCCCCTGGGGGTGGTGGGAGGAGCTCGAATGGAGCGGGAGGATGCCCCTACACGTGAAATGGCCGTTCCCCGCCGTGCCGCCGCTCACCTGGACCCTGGCCAGCAGCGTCGTCATGGGTCTTGTGGGCACCTACAGCTGCTTCTGGACCAGTGAGTGAGCCCGAAGCCGAGGCAGGGCCGACCCCAGGTCTCCACGCCCGGCCAGAGTTGGGGTTGGTGCTGGGGGGGGGAGCCCTGCGCCTCGACGCGAAGGAGACCAAGAACCCCATATTCCCTCTCTCGGCCCCAGAGTACATGAACCACCTCACCGTCCACAACAAAGAGGTGCTGTATGAGCTCATCGAGAACCGAGGCCCAACCACCCCCCTCATCACCGTCTCTAATCACCAGTCCTGCATGGATGACCCTCATCTCTGGGGTACTGGCGCCAGTGTGCTGGGCACAGGGAGGGAGGGGGCCAAACCAAAGCAAAACAAAGTCACTTTTCACTGGGCTCTTCACAGAGCCCTGGGGCTCCTGTTCTGGAGTGTCCTGCCCCAGGGGTGAAAGTCTGAGTTGTGGTCCCTTCAGCATCCTCTCAGGGAACCTGATTTGGAGAGGGGCTCAGAAATTTGGAGGGAATGAGGAAGTGAGGAAATGGCCCAGGGCAAGGTCTGACAGCTGCTTTACTCTGATGCTTCAAGCCTATAAGACCTTCCATTCTCTAAGCCACTGAAGGTTCCAGAGTGTTGGGGACAAATTAAAGGACCATATCAAGGAAGCTCTGGGTTAGGGGCTGGAAGACCTGTATCCTGGTAGCAGCTCTGTTTCCGGCTGGGTTTGTACCCTTCAACCAGCTTCATTTGGGAGCCTAGTTCCCCATCTAGAAGTTCCTGCTTTGCTGGCTGTACAGGGAGTGGCTTGGCTCCAATAACCTGGATGGCTGGATAGAGGAGATACCCAGGGCTTCCACCACAGATTCCAGGTTAGACTATCCTGGAGTTCATGGGGTGCCACCTGATCAAGCTGGAGACTTCCAGAGCTCACCACTGGGCAAGAGTAGGGTAGCGTTGGTGAATCCCTGGAAGCCAGGAAGGAGGCTTTAGACCCACCCAGTAGCCTGGCCTAGGGTGGTAGCAATGACAATGCAGGGAGAGGTGTGGGAGAACAGGCAGTGTCAGAACACGCTGGGGAGGTAGGCAGAGCAGATGTGGTGACTAATAAGCTGGAGGGGGTCAGAGAGAAGAAGGAACCAGGGAGAACTTTGGAGTCCAGCCTGAGCGCCTGGAAGATGCTTCTTTGGGCTGTAGGGAAATGGTGGCACTGCTGCCCTTGTCCCTCATTCCTTGAAACGGGGTGGCAGGAAAAGGTGTTCCCTAGGGACAAGGTCAATTGACACATGAAACTTTCCTCTCCTTCTCTAGGGATCCTGAAACTCCGCCACATCTGGAACCTGAAGTTGATGCGTTGGTGAGGAGCAATGGGCCCCTCGCACTGGGCCTGGCAGGCTTCACCCGTCTCTGCCCAGATTTGCCCTACTCCTGCTCTGCCAGGAGGTGGCGTCCAGCAGTCCAGGCAGGGCATGGGGTGGGGCCCGCAGGCCCTCCTGTGCCTCCGTTCTCCATTGCTGATGATGGCAGGCATCATGCTCGGGGTGGGGGGAGGGGGGAGGCAGGGTACAAGGGAGGCAGGGGTGACTGTGCCTGTCCCCACTCCAGGACCCCTGCAGCTGCAGACGTCTGCTTCACCAAGGAGCTACATTCACACTTCTTCAGCTTGGGCAAGTGTGTGCCCGTGTGCCGAGGTGAGCTGCTCCCTGGGAAGGGCTGCCGGGCCAGTGGGTGTAGGAAGGTGTTTCTGGGGGCTTCTTTGCCCTCCCTTGGGGCAGGGGGCTGGGCCCAATGCCTCTGGCTTGGCAGTACTGGCAGTGGAGGGACCCAGCTGGGACAGGCAACCTGGGGACAAGGGGAGCCGCAGTAGCATACGGCCCAGCTACATTGTGTGGCAGCAGAGGTGGCAGTGGCTGCTGGAGGAGCAATGGCTTCTCAGAGAGCACTCAGTTCTCCACGACCGCCTGAGGCTTGTGCAGACCTACAGCAGTCAAGGAGGCATTATGTACGGCCCCTTCTCTGGGGGGCACTGCTGACAGACTAAATGATGGCAGTGTGGGGTCACTGCTCTGTGAGGGTGGTGGTATATACCGGAGTCTGCAGGGTTTGGGCGAATAAATAGGATTGCGTGTTGATGGGGGGGTAGGGGCCATTTTGACCCCCAGTCTCCATATAAAAGGGCTTGGAGAGATTAAGCCATTGCTCGAAGGTCAAGGGGGAAGAGATGGCAAAGACAGGGTCCACATACACGTTGCTCTTTGCTCGGGGGAAGTAGAATTTTCCCAGGCAGAGAATGGAAGGAAAGGTGTTCTAGACAAAGGAGGCACATGCCAGGAACTGCAAATGGCAAAGGTAGAAAATGTAGGTTGGCTGTTGAGTATAAAGGTTCTGGAATAATTGTGTTGAGCAGCTGGGACTCTGTCTGTTCTCTCACTGCGGTAGTGATGTGCTTTCATCAGTGGCCCGGAGAGCACCACGGCTGCAGCAAGGCCGGTGGACTGGAGCTGGGCCAGGAGGAGGTAGGGAATCTGGTTAGGGGTTCCTGCAGTAATTCTGGTGTCAGACGCTGAGTAGCTGAGCCTCTGCTGATCACTGCTGAGAGCCGGCGAAGGGGACAACTTTGGGATGTGCTCTGGAGGTAGAGTTGGCAGGACACTTGGTCGACTGGGTGTGGGAGATGGGGCAAGGAAAAGAGAACTCAAAGGTGATTCTAGGCGACATCTGGTGGCACAAGTCACAGGGAGGATGGCATGAGGGGAAATCAGCATGGGGGTTGGGAAGGAAGGGGAGTCCCAAGTTGCACGTGCTTCATCTGAGGAGCCTCTCACCCAAGAAAGGGAGCAGCCGAGAGGCAGTGGGATGTGCTGTTCCACAACTCAAAAGAATGTTCAGGAATAAAGATACTGGGGACTCAATCAAAAATGAAATCACAAACATAGAGGCAAGATTGCAGAGAACAGAGAGAGGGCAGGGGCTCAGGATGGTACCTCAGAGTACAGGGCAGCAGGAAGCAATGGCCAGAGAGGAAGCGAAGTAGGGCCCCTTGGCACCGTGGGAGCCTCCAGTGACCCCACAGAAGCCATTTCTGTGGAGTGACAGTGGCAGGAGCTGCAGGGGGTGGATAAGCAGGAGTGGAGAAGGCAGAGAAGTAACCAAAGTGTGTTAGAAGTCAAGGGAGAGTTTCTTATTTCTTCCTTCTGGCTGGTCAAAGTAAAACAGTAACATCCAGTAAAGTCACTGAAGAATAAAGGAGCGCTTTTAATGAGAAGCTGCAGTGCCTGCCCCTCCAGATCCGCAGACCTGCTCCCTGGACACAGCTGCCTTTCTGGAATGCTCTCTTTGTGCTGCTTTGGGCAGCTACTTAATTTCTCTGAAATGTAAGCAGAGGCTACAATGTTGAGGCGAGTGACCATGGCACTGGTTATCACTCCCTGCTCCTGGGCCCCCATCCCATCTCAGCTCCTCCCTTCTGCAGCCGCAGAGGCCTTCCATGTCCGCTTGCTGTTCTGTTCCCTTCTTTGACCTGTAAGTTCTATTGCACAATTAAAAAAAGAAAGTAAAATATTAATCCTAAGCTCCTTTAATGAAAGAAAGCAGGCAGGGACAAGCTATTTATCAAACACGTTTCGTGTGCAGCAAAGATCTAACAACAGGTGTTAAAGCAGGTGAAGTATCTTTGCTTCTGTGTTCCAAAAAAGTCCTTTTCCCTGAAGCACAGATAGGCCTTGTGAGAGGGCATGAAGTGGCAGCGTGATCTTGCATAAGCTATACAAGTGAGTAGAGAGAGCATTTGCAAAAGGTAAACATTATGAAGTGTTGCTCCAAAAGCATGCTAGTAGTTTTTTTTATTTTGTTATCATTAATCTACAATTACATAAAGAACATTATGTTTATTAGGGTCCCCCCTTCACCAAATCCCCCCCACAAACCCCATTACAGTCACTGTCCATCTGTGTAGTAAGGTGTTGTAGAATCACTACTTGTCTTCTCTGTGTTGCACAGCCCTCCCCATGCATCCCCGTACATTATACATGCTAATCGTATTTGGTTGGTCTTTCTTTTCTCTGATTTTATTTTCTCTGGTGACATCTAGTCTTAGGAGTGCTTCCATCTAGAGCAGTCCCTCTAAAATACCCTGTAGAGGTGGTTTGTGGGACGCAAATTCCCTCAACTTTTGCTTGTCTGGGAATTGCTTATAATCCATCCTTCATATTTAAATGATAATCGTGCTGGATACAGTATTCTTGGTTCAAGGCCCTTCTGTTTCATTGCATTAAATATATCAGGCCATTCTCTTCTGGCTTGTAAGGTTTCTGCTGAGAAGTCTGATGATAGCTTGATGGGTTTTCCTTTGTAGGTGACCTTTTTCCTCTCTAGCTGCCTTTAAAACTCTGTCCTTGTCCTTGATCTTTGCCACTTTAATTATTATGTATCTTGGTGTTGTCCTCCTTGGGTCCCTTCTGTTGGGAGTTCTGTGTACTTCCCTGGTCTGATCGATTATTTCCTCCCCCAGTTTGGGGAAGTTTTCAGCCATTATTTCTTCAAAGACATTTTCTATCCCTTTTTCTCTCTCTTCTTCTTCTGGTACCCCTATAATGCAGATATTGTTCCTTTTGAATTGGTCACACAGTTCTCTTAATATTGTTTCATTTCTGGAGATCCTTTTTTTTTTCCACATAATTATTTTTTATTGAAGGGTAGTTGACACACAGTATTACATTAGTTTCAG